TGTCGGTGGCTGCGGCGAAGGACCCAAGAGGCCAAGTGAAAGCGCCGCACAAGCACACCATTTGGGCGGGGCCACGCGCGACCAAGCTGTGGGCACAAGGAGCAATGCTATTCGCCACTTGGAGGCAGCCCAGGGGGCTGCACCTCATGAGGCGACTTTGCAAAGCCCTACACGGGGTCTTCTCGGGCACCAAAACAATTCGTCAAACTCAAACACCAGCCAATGGTGGCGCCTTTGGGAGAAGCCCCCGAATGAGGGAACTCCAAGTTGGGCTGACATTGCGTTCGCGAAAGCACCATGGACTATCTTGCGCAGCTACTTTCGCAGACCAAGTTGCGCAGAGCGGCTGCACAGCCACTTGCGCAGACCAAGCTGCGCAGAGCCATCTGTGTAGACCAACTTGCGCAGAGCCGCTTGCGCAACGTCAGCTGCGCAGAGTCCGTTGCGCAGAGCCGTTTACTCAGAGCGAAGTTGCACACAGCTACTTGCACTTGCGCAGAGAGCCATCTGTGCGGAGCTACTTCAGCAAAGCAGCTTGCAAGTCTGCATGGAGGCAAGTAGCCTGGGACGACAGAGTCTGGGAAAAGAGCTTGGGCGTGCAAGGTCGCGCTCTTGGGCTGGGCTCGGCGCGGGCAGCTATCAAGGTTAAGGTTTGTCTTCTTTGTCATCGCAAGGATTGCGGCCCTCTGCGGGGATCGGTGTGGTCGATGTCCAAAGAAATGTGGACGTTTTACGATTCTTCTGCGGGGGTTGCGCTTGTCGAGTCGTCCTCGCCGCGCAAACTTTGCTGCGCGCGACTGCTCTTGCCATCGCGCGGTCAGGGGCTCGTTTCCCGCTCGCTCCACAGGAAAATCGCAACTTTTAAGCGCAGCTCCGGCTGGAAAATCACAGCCTTTACGTACAAGAGTAGTACGCGCAGCATGCTCCCGCCGAACATCGCAACTTGCAAGAAACCTGTGGAGCACAGCGCAAAGACACTTGCGCAGGTAACTTGCGCAGAGCAACAATCTGCGCGGAACTTTACGGCGCAGAGAACTTTGCACACATGCGCGGAGAAACTTGCAAAGACCACTTGCGCTGAGCAACTTTTGCGAGGCACTTGCGCAGAGCACTTACGACGAGCAACTTGACAAAAATATCTTGCGCGCAGAATTTTGCAGGGTCATTTGTAAAAAGCAGCACGCCCAGAGCGCTGCAGAGCTTGATGCGCAGACTTGCGCAGAGCCAACAGGGAAAACAACAACAACACCAACACCAACACCAAAATCATCACCAACACCAACACCAAGACCAAGACCAAGACCAAGACCAAGACCAAGAGCAAGAGCAAGAACAGGCGCAGGCACAGGAACAGGAACAGGAACAAGAACAAGAACAATAAATAGAACAAAAACAAGAACAAGAACAAGAACAAGACCAACACCAAGACCAACACCAACACCAACACCAACACCAACACCAACACCACCACCACCACCACCACCACCACCACCACCACCAACAACAACAACAACAACAACAACAACAACAACAACAACAACAACAACAACAACAACAACAACAACAACAACAACAACAACTACAGCAACAGCACCACCACCACCACCACCACCACCACCAACAACAACAACAACAACAACAGCAACAACAACAGCAACTGCAACAGCAACAGCAACAAGAGCCAAGCCCTATCTTTGACAGGAACCAGAAACTCATGTAGGAGGCAATTGACAAGCGAACGCACCTGGACGGGTCCGCCTGCCATGTGCGGGCATGGGCGCTGAGCGAACGCACCTGGACGGGTGTGCTTACCACGTGCGGGCATGTGCGCACTGCTGAGTGAACGCGCCTGGGCAGGCGCGCCATTTAGCTGGCATGGATTCGATGTTGAGCCGGTGTTCTTGAGCGGGTGTGCTTAGAATTTGGCTGGCGAGTCTTGACAAGGTGCGCTTACCATTTGCCTGGCATAGACACAAAGCAGGTGTGTGCTTGCCATACCATTTGACTGGCATGGATGCAGTCTTGAGCGTGCGCTCTACCATTTGGCTGGCATGGACACAGCCCTGCGCGGGCGCTCTTGAGCGGGTGTGCTTACCATGCCAGCCAAATGGTAAGCACACCTGCTCAAGACCACCAGGGTAAGCACACACGGTCTGGACGAGTCACCCTGCTCAACTGCACCCGCTCAGATGTGTCCATGCCAGCCAAATGGTTTGCACACACCCGCTGCAGAGCACCCGCTCAGCCACAGGGTAAGCACACCCGCTCAAGAGCACTCACTCAACAGCCAAATCTAAGCACACCTGCTCAAGAGCACCCTCTCAGGACTGTATCCATGCCAGCCAAATGGTAAGCGCACCCGCTCAAGCGCACCCGCTCAAGACTGCATCCATGCAAGTCAAATGGTAGGTGCGCTTACTATTTGGCTGACATGGAGACACTGCTGAGCGCTTCAGCGGGCGCGCGCTGACAATCCTGTTCTCTTCAGCGAGTGTCCTTGCCAGGCCTTGGGAGCGGGTGTGCTGAGCATGGGCTGGCGTGGACACAGTCCGAGCTGGTGCGCTTCCCTTTTTGCTGGCATGGACACAGCCCTGAGTGGATGAGCGGGTGCGCCGACCATTTGTCTGGTATGGCTGCGCCTGCCACACGAGCTGCACGCACCTGACTTGCAACACGCACGAACAGCTGCGGCTGCCAACGAAAAAAATACTATCTGCGACGCAGCAAAAACGCAAGATCCACGGTTTCCCAGCCGCGCGCGCCTGTGCAGTCGAAACGGCGTTCTTTATAGGTCCAACACGCACGAAAAGCTGCGACTGGCAACGGAATTGCACATGTTGTGAAGCAGTTAAACGCGCGTTTACGCGATGACCAGGCCAACAACAACAACAGCAGCAGCAGCAGCAGCAACAACAACAAAAGCAACTTGCGCGCAGCACCTCGCGCAGGGCGCTCGAAGAAGCCCCCGCGCAGAGAACTTGCGAAGCACAACTACGCAAAGTACACTGCGCGCAGCATCTTGCAGCACGACGCTGAGCAATCTACTTGCAAGGCGAAACTTGCGCAGAGCCAAGAAAGCAGAACGCGCATCTCATTATGTGGAACACTTTCATTCTGTACGCCGCGGACCGGTTTGTTTTGAGGCTGGTCGCGCTCCAAAAGTCATCAACAGTCTTCGGTAAGGCTGCTTCTTGAGGGGCTGTCTCTGTCGTGAGGGTGTAAACACGTTGGTCACTGATCGATGGAAAGAGGGCCAGTCGTCGATTGCTCCAGGCTTGAGGACGTTAAGCTGGTTCCACAAAACCATGGCACGCTTGCGTCTCTGTCTAACGTTGCTCGCAACACGCTTGCAGTCGAGACTGGCGCCTTGACCTGCTTTGGGCAACGATCTACACACGTGCGCAAACATTCTGAAACGCAGACTGTACCTCATCCTGTTTCCTAAAGAAACTAAAATTTGCGTGGAATAACAGAAGCTAGCTCATGGAAACGGGGACAAGGCTCAAGGGGTCTTTCAAAGCGGCAGACAGGAGACAGTTTTTGGAGCTGCGCAAGATGAGGTCAAGTCGTTGCAGAATTGCTGGGCATGCTGCCACCTCATGCGCCGCCGGCCATTGCTGCGCCTCAACACTTGAGCCGAACACTCCGGGGGCCTGTAGTGACGCATGCAGGGCGTGGACACAGCCCAGTCCTGCGCGCGATGCTGGAAGGACACCGCACATCAAAAAGGAACTGCTCCTGCGGCCAGCCAGCCAGTCAGACAGCGCAAGCGCAGCCATAGCTGCAGCTTGCGCTTCTGGTAAAGCCGCACACGAGTTCACATGACACGTCACGCAAGAAGCGTTTCAAAAGTTTCAAAGCGCACCAAATTTTTGCTGCTGCCATTCTCCTGCTTGCACCAAGCCAGCCAGTGGGTAAATAAAGAACTACGGACTCAAATGCATCACAGGCGCAGCTTTCAACCCGAAGCTCCTCCCCTGCGCCTGAGGCCACAATCCGCACGCCCGCCACGTCACCAATCAGGCCTGAAGGATTGAAAAAACCAACTCGCTCGGAAAAGCCAAAGCCGTAAAACTGGCCGGTTCCGCCCGAAGGCTTGACCAAAATCAACTCCCCACGCAGGCGCATCCACCCACTTCCAACAACTCCCTCTCTTGCTACATGCAAACAGGCCCTGGCCATTGTATTTGTCGGTGCCCTGCGCAAAGAAGTTGCCTGGGATCGCGTGAAACGTGCTGACAGGAAACATTGGGCTTTGCATGAGTATTGACTCAAAGTGCAAAACATGCCCCCAAAGAAATAAACCTCAGTCTGGGTGTGACAACCAGCCCAGGGGCCGGCAGAAAAACTGCCCAAGAACTTTATTGATGTGGCCTCATCGTGACGCAAAGTAACGCTGGGCCAAGTGACATAGGCGCACCTCGGGCGAGTAGCTGCGCCCGCCTCCTAGCCCCCTACTCATGCCGCTTTTCATGGAGCCACGCTAAGCAAGCTGCTTCTCTCAAAATCGTCAGAGGATTTTTGAAGGGGTTCTGAAACTTTGGCCCGAAAATTGGCCCTGACCTGTTTGCGACCCCTTTATGAAAAAGCGCTTGTGTGCGTGTGTGTGTGTGTGCGCAGCTGGCACAGCGCAATGCAATCATTTGCTTGCCCGAGACTGAATGCCGAAAACCGGCGGTGTAGTCCTGCAAAAAATTGGAGGTGCAGCGGAGGCCTAGTTGGAGGCCTGCAGTGGAGGCCACTGAGTCACATAAGTCAGCGTGGCTCCGCCCGAAATAAGAACCGTAGTGAGGCCGCGTTGAAGGGCTTTTTGTGCGTTTGCTGAGAAACTGGAAGAGGCTGTGAGAGGTCAATGGCGATGGCGTAGGAGGGACGTGTGCGTGTGTCAATGTAGTTGGGCTTGCAGACCTTGCCCCACTAATCCCCACCACAGGAAGCTGGGACTCGCGCCGGCGTGCCCACGCCCAAGCCCTCCGAGGCAGCTTCTGCAGACGCGTCACCTGCGCTGTTTCGACTTGCGTTGTCAAGGAACTCTGCGTCCCGCAGGACCTGCCAGAGGAAAGCCTCATTATAGATTACATCCCCTCAACAAACCATTGAACATAATACTTTTCATCATTTCATAACAGAACCTCAACTCAAGATTTCATACATAAATTTTGCAATTGTTTATCCAAATTCCAAAAATATAAATCCCGAATTTCCGAAAATCCCAAATTCCCAAAATACAAGTCCCAAAAAATTTATAACATAAATCTTAAAATGTTTTATTGTAAGGCTTATGGGGTTAAACTAGTTGACGTTCATCAGGTGAGCCTCATGTACCAATGAGGTGGGCGTCATGTAGCAATGACGTGAGCCTCATGTAGAAACGAGGTGAGCCTCGTGTAGCAATGAGGTGAGCCTCATGTAGCACCAGTAAAATTCCATAACAATTCAAGCGTGCGCGCATGCGTGAGTGATTGCGTGCGTGCGTGCTTGCGTCCGTGTGCGCGCGCGTGCGTGTGTGCGTGGGCGCGCGCCGCGTGTGTGCGTGTGTGTGTGTGTACGTGCGTGCGTGCGTGCGCGCGTGCCTTGTTGCGTGTGTGCGGGCACGTGGTGTGTGTGTGTGTGTTGTGTGTGTGTGTGTGTGTGTGTGTTGTGTGTTGTGTGTTGTGTGTTGTGTGTTGTGTGTTGTGTGTTGTGTGTTGTGTGTTGTGTGTTGTGTGTTGTGTGTTGTGTGTTGTGTGTTGTGTGTTGTGTGTTGTGTGTTGTGTGTTGTGTGTTGTGTGTTGTGTGTTGTGTGTTGTGTGTTGTGTGTTGTGTGTTGTGTGTTGTGTGTTGTGTGTTGTGTGTTGTGTGTTGTGTGTTGTGTGTTGTGTGTTGTGTGTTGTGTGTTGTGTGTTGTGTGTTGTGTTGTGTGTTGCGTGTTGTGTGTTGTGTGTTGTGTGTTGTGTGTTGTGTGTTGTGTGTTGTGTGTTGTGTGTTGTGTGTTGTGTGTTGTGTGTTGTGTGTTGTGTGTTGTGTGTTGTGTGTTGTGTGTTGTGTGTTGTGTGTTGTGTGTTGCGTGGTGTGTGGTGTCTGTTGTGTGGTGTGTGTTGTGTGTTGTGTGTTGTGTGCTGCGTGTTGCGTGTTGCGTGTTGCGTGTTGTGTGTTGTGTGTTGTGTGTTGTGTGTTGTGTGTTGTGTGTTGTGTGTTGTGTGTTGTGTGTTGTGTGTTGTGTGTTGTGTGTTGTGTGTTGTGTGTTGTGTGTTGTGTGTTGTGTGTTGTGTGTTGTGTGTTGTGTGTTGTGTGTTGTGTTGTGTGTTGTGTGTTGTGTGTTGTGTGTTGTGTGTTGTGTGTTGTGTGTTGTGTGTTGTGTGTTGTGTGTTGTGTGTGTTGTGTGTTGTGTGTTGTGTGTTGTGTGTTGTGTGTTGTGTGTTGTGTGTTGTGTGTTGTGTGTTGTGTGTTGTGTGTTGTGTGTTGTGTGTTGTGTGTTGTGTGTTGTGTGTTGTGTGTTGTGTGTTGTGTGTTGTGTGTTGTGTGTTGTGTGTTGTGTGTTGTGTGTTGTGTGTTGTGTGTTGTGTGTTGTGTGTTGTGTGTTGTGTGTTGTGTGTTGTGTGTTGTGTGTTGTGTGTTGTGTGTTGTGTGTTGTGTGTTGTGTGTTGTGTGTTGTGTGTTGTGTGTTGTGTGTTGTGTGTTGTGTGTTGTGTGTTGTGTGTTGCGTGTTGCGTGGTGTGTGGTGTCTGTTGTGTGGTGTGTGTTGTGTGTTGTGTGTTGTGTGTTGTGTGTTGTGTGTTGTGTGTTGTGTGTGTTGTGTGTTGTGTGTTGTGTGTTGTGTGTGTGTGTCTGTGTGTCTGTGTGTCTGTGTGTCTGTGTGTCTGTGTGTCTGTGTGTCTGTGTGTCTCTGTGTCTCTGTGGGGGTGGGTGCGTGGGTGGGTCTGCGTGCCTGAGCGCGCGTGCACGCCCGCGTGTGTGCTTGTGCGCGCGTTGTTTCCTTCTGCTTAGGCATGGCCTTCGGCTTCAGCTTCACCTTCTCTTGGGTTGATGAAGGTCTTGTTGGTTCGGATCTCTGCTGGCTAGGATCTGACTATGGCCAGTGTCAGGTCTAGTCCAGGGTTCCGGCTCCTTTTTTTGGTCCAGGCTGGATACGCTGGTTGAGAAGACGATCCATCACCTTCAGGATGTGATGGTACTTCCCTTGCTGTCTGTCCTTGCGCCGGCTTGAGATAGATTGCGGTGATAGGCGCATATGGCACGCGATCATGATTCAGTGGTCCGCGAGTACCATCGAGGTGAATCTGCTGATCTTTGGAATCTTCCCTGGTCAGGAGCTTGGCTGTATCAAAGAGTGCAGCAAGTAGCATAGGTGCTCTTATGCCAATAAGGGATCGAAGTTTGTGATTGTGTCGAAGAATCTCCCTGAGTGTCACTGATCCATCTTGTTCCCGGCGTAGCTGGATGTGTCTTCCATCTCCTTCTGTAGGATCATGTCGTAGAATCGATGTAAAGGTTCTTGAGATCTTTTCTTGAAGGAATAAAAGCACTTGGCATTTAGTCCACAGTTCTTCAGGATCCCTCTCATATAGCCTTGCAAGCACTGTGTACTTGGTCTTCTCCAGATCGATATCGCCGTAATAGCCATGGGCTGCCGGCACGATCTTGAAACTCCAGGATTCAGGTTCTTCAATCATCTAGATCATCAATTCTCGGAAATTTCGTTCAAAAAGATCATAATCCTTAAGAGGATCGGTTCCGTTGCCAATGTGTTTGAACTGTCTGAATAGCTCCACATTCTCGAGATGCTGATTCCAATTGTCAGGGTCTCGATCCTTCGATGGAAACATATTGGAATCTTGGCCGGTCTTCCAAGATGAAATCGGTCTCGATGTAGTATACGGTCAATTTGCCCAGGAGTGTTCGATCCACCTTGACAAATGGGTTCTTTGGACATATGTAATCCAGAAACGATCTCGATGAGGGTCTTCTTCTTCCACTTCCTCACGCTCGTCAAACTCGTGTAGGTCTGCATCTGTTGGTTCTGCATGATCTCCGTCATTCGGCAAGCTGATCTTCTTATCCGGGATCGGCTCATCTTCAGAATCAGAGGATAAGATTGATGATGGCGCTCGGATCTCTTTCGGTGAGCCTCCAGCAGGTTCGTTTGGATCGCCCTTCGAGGATGAATCCATTTCCACATCGCTGGATCTGGCGGCACTCTACTTTGCCATACCTCTACAAGTCTCCGCCTCATCAGAAACGATGAGAATTGTTGTGACTCAAGTGGGCCAAGCGCTGGAAAATCAAATGGCTGCGGACGCAGACAAACTTCTTGAATCACAAGTTGGGTTTCTGAACATTGGTCAAATCCAAACATGAAAAAGAATCTCAATCCGTCTTGTCCAACGGTGGTTCTTCACATAAGCTGTCTGGAATGGTGCCAGAAACTGTACACCTCTGCGGAAATATCTTCTGCCAGGAATGTGAGAACAGTGGGTCCAAGGGTTGTGAAAAGGGGGGCCTTGTTCTGCAGCATGGTCCTGAAATTGGATGTACGTCAACGTTCTGCAAAACCAGGTTGTTTGCATCTGTGCGAATGTGAACATCTGCAAGTTCGCCTGAAATGTCTGACCAAAGTCCACGAATAAACAAGCATGTACCAAAGCAACGCATCAAACCCTCAAGCTCGGCAACAGTGGTTGACATAGTTGTAGCTGTAATTTTTCGGGCCTCGTAATCAACAAGGGATCCTCTGGAAATGGGAGTACCCTTATGAAGGTCACGCTCTTCGGCAAGGAAGAGCACATGAGCACGCTGTGATGACTTGTCATTATTATTCCTGTTGGATGCAACTGGATGTCCAATCAATCGTGCGTTGCCCTCAAGAGGCCAGAATCGCATACTGAGCGGAATACTCTTGATGGTTCTGACGGTCTTGTTGATGGCACGCGCGTCGCCGATGGTCGGTAATGACGCCTTAGACGCACATCAAGAAAAATGATTTGGCCCAATACACTTCTGTACGCAGTGCGCATTGATGGATAAAGTGGACCTTCATCCTTGAGAGTTTTCTCAAAGGTAATTCCTTGCAATTCATTTATTGCAACATTCTGATGAACATTGATGTAAGGTCCATGCTTCTCACCCGTCTTCCATTGGATTCTTTGCCCGACGAAAACGCAATCATTCTTGTCTTCTGAACCAACTTGGAAATCCTTGCGGCTCTTGGCCATAATCTCTCGTTCGAAGATCTCTCCTCCTACCATGAGAAGGTCATCTACGTGCAAAGACATAACTCCGTGGACTTGTGGGCCTTGGGCATTATTGCCTCATACCGGGTCCATGAGATAATCAATGGCTCCTTCAAGATCGAAATGGTCTAACTGGTTCTTTGTAGTTTCAATTTTGGAATGACTGATCTTCTTGCCGTAGTACACGTAGGTGCAACGGTCAGCCCGTGTTGGCACGAGGCCATAGGACCTTAGCGCTGAATCAAGAATGTTCCACCATCTCCTGAGTGCATCGTTCAAGCCATAAGCTGGTTTCTTCACGCGGGCACCAATGTAAGTTGGATAACCCACTGCAGGAATCTGACAAATCAAATCGCGGGTTTCATCACAAGGAGAAAAGCGGTTTTGAGATCCATGTGGAATATGTTCCATTCTTTGTTTGCTGCTGCCTGAATTGCTAGCCTGAATCCACTGCGGGATGCTGCTGGACTGCCCGTTTGCTGCTCATTCTTCTGGCGGTCCTGGAAACCTCTAAGGACCCAGCGGGCCTTGGTTGAGGACATTTCCATCTTTGTCTCTCTTGATGGTTAGGACCCATCTGCCAGTAACCCAGTTCCTTACGGGGTTCTTCCGGGTGTTGGCAAGTTCGCAAACTTCATTGTCTAACCAGGATTTGCATTCTAGAAGCTTTGTTTCCAGGAACTGTTTGTTGTAGGCTCGGGTCTCTGATTGCGTTGCGTCTTTCCTCTTCTTCCCAATAAGTTGTTGCGTCGTGGACGCCTTGAGAGACTCTTGTCGTTGTGTGTGTAATG